TTTTCTTCAATTAATCGTTTTAAAACCTGACCGGGTTTGTTTGAATGGATGCAGGTCCAAGTGTTTGTTCTTTTTTAGGAGGTCTCAGCTTTGTGTGTGTGTGTGTGTGTGTGTGTGTGTGTGTGTGTGTGTGTGTCATGTGAGCAGAGTGCTGCAGAACACCATTGCAGTCCCAAATTTTGTCTTGGTGAATGGGCCTTTGGGCATGTGACAGCGCTGTGGCATTCACCCTGGCTAGTGAGCTTTGACTGGAAGGTCAGAAGTGCAGTTATTTGGAGGCGGTATGTGGTGGCCCTGGGCATGATGCTGGTCTCAACAAAGGGGAATTTGTCCCTTAGTAAAGAATTAGAGGAATCCCTGAGTTGGTGAGGTGATGGCTTCAAGAATGGCTGCCTGAAGCTCCCTGAATGTGTTCAGTGGCTACACAGTATCTGGCTCATGTGTTGAACTCTGGTGTCAGAGACAAGCCCTGTGTGAGCCCATGAGCCTTGGTCAGTCTCCGAGGGACTAATGGAGGAGCAGAGAGCAAGTCAGAGAGGAGAGCTAACAGAGCTGGCAGAGACGGGGAAAGGGTTTGTCTAAGGCGTGTTCACTGGAGGAGGCAGCAGGACAGTTGGTGCCAGAAAAGTGCAATCCTGAACAATTGCATTTCATAAATGCCTGTGGCTCTCAAACTAAGGTGAAAGCTGGGTCCTTACTTTATCTCAGAATTCCTCCGTGCCCATGTTATAACATGGAAGATAGGAAGCTGTGTGGAGAAGCCAGGAGCAGAAGCTCACACACGTTTCCATTCCATTATCTGGTGTCCATAGGAGACCAGTCCAGAGAGTTGGGGTTGAGTGAGGAGGGAAGACTGTATAATGGGAAACAGTTTCATGTTAGAGAGATGGGCTGTGCTAGAACTGGGTAGTGGTAATAGAGACATGGTGTTTAGAAATAGTGTCACCGGGGCAAGTCATATTTTATTCTTATTTACCATAATAAAGCATCTTTTCTTGAAAATAATTGTGTGTTATGCATGTTGTATGTGTGTTATGCATGTTAATTGTGTTATATCTGTGTTATGTGTATGTATGTCTGTTATGCATGTTAACTGAGTGTTATGTGTGTTAATTGTGTGTGTTGTACCATGTGTATGTGTGTTATGTATGTTAATTGTGTTATGCATGTTATGTGTTATGCATTGTGTTATACATGTTAATTATTGTATTATGCATGTGTATGTGTGTTATGCATGTTAATAGTGTGTTATACATGTTAATTGTGTGTTATACATTTGTACGTGTGAGCCCATTTACCTGTGTGTGTACACAATGTCATTTGTCTTTTTCCACCTTGTTTTCTAAGACGGGATTTCTCACAAACTTGGAGTTCACCATTTTGGCTCGTCTGGCTGGCCAGGAAACCCTCAGGATCTGGCCATCTCCTTGACATGGTGGGGGTGGGGAGTTAGCAGGCACACTTCACCACACCCAACTTTTTGTGTGGTTCTGAACTCAAGTCCTCATGTTGGTGTAGCTCCCTGGCCTACAGATGACTCTTGGAGTGTTGCATTTTTCTTCTCTCCTTTCCCTCTCTTGTTCTTGTTTTCTCTGTGTCTTTTTATACCTGTCTATTTCTCTCTGTCTCTCTCTGTCTCTGTCTCTCTCTGTCTCTGCTCTCTCTCTCTCAGACACACACACACACACACACACACACACACACACACACGGTGCTAGGGCTCAAACTTCAATACCTGGCACATCTAGGTAAGCACTGTCACTGAGCTAGACTCCAGCCCCAGATGGCTTTGTGATTACAAAGGGAAAGTGAGTGGATGGGCCGGCCATAACCGGCTCACCAGCTGTCCCCATCAACCCTGGGACAGACTGACACTCTGGCTCTGCTGGTGAGGTATACTAAAGCCACATTCCTGCTGAGAAAACAGCCTGTGTTGAATCTTGGGTGTGATAACTCAGTGAGATGTGGAATCTGGAATCCCAGGGGACGGCTCCCCACCACCACCACCACCACACACACACACACACACACACACACACACACACACACACACACACAGACACAATGCAATGTCTTTGGGGACTGCCTTGACTAGGTTAATTGAAGTGGAAAGGGGCATCCACTATGGGTGGCACCATCCCTGGGAATGTATCCTCCACTGCACAAAAAGAAGATAGTGAGCTGAGGACAGCTTCCATCCCTTTCTGCTTCTTCAGTTTGGATGCTGCTGCCATTGTGGATTTCCCTGTGTGACAGTTACAACCTTGAACTGTGAGCTGTCATCAACTGCTTTTATTTTATCACAGCAACGGGAAAAGGAACTGAGAAATGGAGAAGCCAGCTAAATTGTATTTGAAATGAGATATTTAATGAATGTATGGACTTCAATCAATGTGTAATTATACAATATAGCTATTAAAATGCATTTACCTATGGGGGAAAAAAAAGAAATGGAGAAGCATCAAGAATGTTAGTCAGGCTTTTTGTTTCTGTGACCAAATGCCTAAAACAACAACTTGAAGGAGGAAGGCTTCATTTGGGCTCTTGGTTTCAGAGCATTTGGTCCACTGACTCCATTGATTCTGGCCCATGGAGAGACAGAACATTGTGGCAGTAGATAGAGAAGTATGGAGGAAGAGGATCTCCAAGAAACAGGAAATGGAGGAGAGAGGACTAGGGACCAGGTAAATCTTCCAAAGTCACACACACCCACAGAGATCTGTTTCCTCCAGCGAGGCCCCACCTCCTAAAGTTTCCACATCCCAATGCTTGGGGGATGAATCCATTCCTTTGGTCAGAGCCCCATAAACCCAGTCACTCCCCAAATGCCTGCCACATACTTCATATTGAAAGGTAGCAACAGCATGCCAGACATCCTACAAAGATGGCCAATTCTCTTAAACCCTGTCACTGTTGTGAAAAAGAGCAAGGAGCAATTCTAGATTGAAGAGATTTAGGGCCAAAAAGGAGACTATCATCTTGGAGTAGGAAAAAATTGCAGAGATATGACTGGGCGGTCTGGAGATATGTGATATGGATGATACGTGAGATGGTGGCATTGTGTCATGGTAGATTTGGTGGTGAGGGCATGTGTGTGCATACATTTGTGTATGTGGAAGTGAGTTCATGCCTGCCACAATATGCATGTTGAGGTCAGAAGACAACCTCAGCTGTCAGTCCTTGCTTTCCACCTTGTCTGAGGTTGGGGTCTGCTGTGTAGGCCAGGTTAGCTGGTCCCTGAGCTTACAGAAATTCTCTTGTCTCTGCCTCACGTCTCCTAGGAAGAGCACAGATGCTTGCATTACTTCATTCAGCTTCTAAGTAGGATCTGGAGATTTGAATTCAGGTCCTCACACTTGACTGGCAAACACATTTACACAGAAGTAGCTCTTCAATTCTTAATTAAATTCTTAATTATTATTATCACACTGGCTATGTAAGGAAGCATCTTCATTTTCCAGAAAGACATGGTATTTAGATAAAAAAGAAGGTTGGGCTTAAACAATTTACTCTCAAGTATTTCAGAAAAAGTGTATGTATGTATGCATACACACTTACATGTATACAAACTTGTGTGGCTATTAGTCCACTAAAAACTAAAATTTCATTACAGCATAAGCAAGGCCTAGTTTGAAGCACTGTGTTTAGATAGTGGGATTAAAAGTTAATTTTATTTCCTACAGATTTCAGTAATAGAATCAGGTTGCAAATTATTGACATGAAACAAGGAACCATATATGACTTGGGGGTGAACTTTTCCAGCCCTATGAAAGTGACATGTTCAAGTGACACTTGAGTTTTGTTGACCAACACAATGGTCATGTTTGTAAAACTCTCCAAAGATTTTGTCATGTGACCTTAACCCTGAAATTCTCAAAGCACCCCTTTGAATGTGTTTTTTCCTTTACACACCACACATCTCCCATGTTTGCTGTCTCCCTCTTTTGCTATGAAGCAGCCTGGCTTGGATATGTTCTCACACCCTGAGTGTCTCCCTTCCCCTGGAGCAGGCAGGCCTGTCTTTTCCTGAGTGTGGCATAGGGCTTTGATTTCACTCTACAGTTGCTTCCTGTTCTATATTATTCAGATTGTCCACTAGAATTTTTTAAAATTATCCAGAAATCTCCAGAGCTGAACATCCAGAATCTTGTCAATCATACTCCTAGTCCAAGGAATGAGGCTTCAATGTTAACTTAGCTGCACTGGCCCACCCTAAGTGCAAGTGATTCTGGGAAGTGTAGTCTTCATGTGAGATCAGAAAGGAAAATGAAATCACTGCCATACATTGTATGTATAATTCAGGAGCCAGCATTGTTTAAATATGTATGTAAATTGAACTCAGTGGCACATATCATTAATCTCAGCACTTGGGATGCAGAGGCAGGTGGATCTCTGTGAGTTCCAGGCTAGCTTGGTCTGCATGGTGAGACCCTGTCTCAAAAAACCACCCCCCCAAAAAAAGTCCATGTGTACATGTATGATATGTGATATGTGTGGGCATGCATGGCACAGCACACATGTGTGGTCAGGGGACAACTTTGTGGAGTTGTTCTTTCTGGGTTCCAGGGATTGAACTCAGGTTATCAGGCTTACATTGCTGATGTGACAACTGGGGCCATGTGTCTGGCCCCCATTGCTTTTGTGACAGGTTCTTGTGTAACTCAGGCTGGCCTGTTGGCCTCTGACTCACTATGTTGCTAATTACACAGAATTGTCCTCCTTCTTCCACTTCCCAAGTGCAGGGATAACAGGCATGTGCCCCACATTTATGCAGTGATAGGGTCTACAACCCAGGGCCTCATACATGCTAAGCAAGCACGCCACAAGTTGAGCTACTGTCCCAGCTCCGAATTAGAGATTTTAATTGGTCTTCACCCTCCTGCCCCACCTAGATCCAGAAGTGCAGAACCTCTGGACTTCGAGGCAGGAAAATAGCTGTCCTAAATTTTCTGAGATCCTGTTAAAAGCTGTTGATTTGAATTTTGCCTTGTCGTTGACAGGTTTGGATTTCTCTCTCTCATCTTCTTTGGGTTCTCATCCCTCTCTGGACTTTCCAGCTGCTCCCACAGCCCTGTGAACATGTTGGTGATTCTTGCCTTCATCATCATCTTCCACATCGTAGCTTTGGCGCTGTTGTTCATTTCCACCATTAACAATGTAAGTTTCTGTTCTCATCAACCACCTAGGAGTCATGGGCAGTAGAGACCATGGAGTAGGGTGGAGAACGGGGAGGATGTGATTGCGATCTGGGGTGTCTTCCACAGCCCAGACCTGGGTGCTTTGGAGCAGGTTTGGATGAGATAAAACAAGGTTAGTTGATATGATGCTTGCCTGCCAGAAGCCCCGGAGAAAGGTCCAGTTCTCTGCAGTTCTCAGCCTCAGTACCATTGGCATTCAGAGCTAGTAATTCTTTTTATCCTATTGAATTTTCTATTTCTTTAAATTTACTTATATTGTTTTGTGTGTATGCATATTCTACCTATATGCTTGTCTATGACCACCTGTGAGTTCCTGGTGCCTAAACAGGTCAGAAAAGGACCTTGGACCTCTGGGACTGGAGTTACAGATGGTTGTGATCCCCAATGTGGGTGCTGGGAATCAAACCTGGGTCCTCTGCAAGAGCAACAAATGCTCTTAACCACTGACCCATCTCTCCACCTCCTATTTTACTTTTAAAGTTAGGACACAAATTATGTTTTCTAAAGTTTTGCCTGCTATACTTTAGACAAGGAATTAATGTCTTAAATACTTAAAGAACTGCAAAACCTGCTGGGCGGTGGTGGTGCATGCCTTTAATCCCAGTATATGGGAAGAAGAGCAGGGGGAATCTCTGTGAGTTCGAGGCCAGCCTGGTCTATAGATTAAGTTTCAGGACAGCCTGCGCTGCACAGAAAAACCCTCTCTCTGAAAACAAAAGCAAGCAAACAACAAAAGGACTTCAAAGCTTAAATATACACACACATAGCCATGTATGCACGCACAGGCTGCACATGAGCACACACACACACACACACACACACACTCACAGATAGTTGATAGTTAATAAATGAACCAACAAACTGAACAGAGAGTCCTCAAATAAAGAAATATGTGTAGCGAGCCAGTAAATATTTTTTTAAAGTGTTCAACATCCTTAGCCATCAGGGTAATGTAAATTAAAACTGCTATTAGATTCTGCCTCAGCCCTGTCAGAATGACTACCGTCAAGAAAACAAATGACAACATTCCCTTCAGTGGTGTAGTCACTGGCAAGTTGCCTATGTAAATAACCATGACCCATGCTCACACAGACACCACCAATTAAACTCAGTGGGGAAGAAATGAGGCATGAAGGGACTTGTTGGCAAGAAAAGGGGTTCCATGAAAGTGGAGGGGCGCGAGATGGTATGGGGGCAAAAGTACCCCAAATATGTGGCACACATGTATGAAATAGTCAAATAATTGTTTAAAACAAAACAAAGCTAAACAACCCCCTGCCAAGGTTCTGAGGAGGTAATGAGGTAGCATGACAGGGTATGTGTGAGGTGGAGAAGAAAGGAGGCCATGGGTGTGGAGATGCTAAAGGGCAGGTCAGGAGGATGGAGGGAAAGCAGAGAGGAGAAGCATGGAGAACAAACTCACTTCAACAGTGGCATAGTGAAACCTGTGTGTCCTGATTAATTTTTAAAATAAGGTAGAAGTTAACTAAGAACAGAACTGCCTAACTATATTACACACCTAGAGGGTATATTCCCAAAGGCCCTACCACAGAGCTGTTTGCATACCCATGATTATTACTGCTCCATTCACAGTAGCCAGTGACATGATAATTCATGTCAAAGGCTTAGTAACATCCCTGGCCTTTGTCATTAGATGTCAGTCTTGTTCACAGCTGAAGGGGTGTTTTCACTGGCAGCTGTCTACAGGGAGCAAAGTGAGTCTGGAAAACCCATACAGGCCACCCTCTCTCTGTCCCCTGCATCTTTTTACTAGCCAGGCACTCATGTTACTAGGTGACTTGCAGACTCCCTGGCAGATCTCATGGCGCCGGGGGGTGAGGGGGGTGGGGCTCTGTAAATTCTCCCCAGGCCCCTGACATAAGACTGTTCCTTCAGGGTCCAGCTAACAAGCTAGCAAGAGAGTATTTGATAATCCCTTGTCGCAGGCAGGAGGTGATGCTTCTTACAGAGACCTGGTCTTGTGCCCAAGGCTGGCTTCATCTGGTCATTTTAAACTACAGAGACCGTTAGGGGAAGAAAACTGCTCAGAAGGTCAAGGTGTGTGCGTGCGTGTGTGCGTGCGTGCGTGCGTGTGTGCGTGTGTGTGTGTGTGTGTGTGTGTGTGTGTGTGTGTGTGTGTGTGTGTGTGCATCTAGTCCTTTAGGACCCCAGAGAGGTCTCTCTCCTTCCACCGAGTAGACCCTGGGACCTATTTTAGGTCACAAGGCTGGGAAGTGCTAGTCTTCATTCCTGAGCTGTCTCACCAACCATGGGACCTTTTTGAAATTAATTTTTAGGTTAACAGACAGTTTCATGGTGGCATCCTCATATGTGTGTGACGTTATACTTTGTTCTCATTGGCCCCCTCTCTCACTGCCCTTTCTTGCCCCTCCCATCCAGCTGGCTCCTCCTCCTTCCTTCCCCAGTTAGTTTCCCTTCTGCTGTCTTACTATGTGAATTCCATTACCTTCTATTTCCCACCTCTCTTAAGTCCTCTTCTGGGCTCTGCTCCTGGTCTTTGTCCCATGGCCTATGAGCACACACACACACACACACATACACATACAAATACACACACATACATATACACACATATAACACACATATACACACGTACACATACACATACACACACAACACACACACAACACACACACACATACACACATGTACACATACACACGCATATACACATACACACATATACACACACATACACACGTACACATACACACACATACACATAACTGTGAAGCTAGTTCTTCATATGAGACAAACCATGAGTGTCTTCCTGAGCCTGATGCATTCACCCATTTTCCTGCAAATGTTATGATTTTATTTTAGTTCCATTGTGTACATGTGCCACATTTTTAGTATGCAGACATCTAGGCTGGTTCCATTCCCCAGCTACTGGGCAGACTGTCTCCTTGATGTCATCCTTTCTTCTACACATTGTCCCCGATGTTCTGATAGAACCTGCCTCTGTTTACTCTGATGGCTGCTAACTCAGTATGTTTTCCCCCATGGGTCATAAGAGCATGGAACACCTCAGATCTTTCTGAAGGCTTGCAGCCTGGCATCTCATGGGACTCAATAAAGACCCCAAACTGACCTGAGGTCTTTTGATTCAGAGAGACTTGCCTGTGGTCTGCCCTCTAAGAAACTGTGAGTGCTGAGTAGGGGCCACATTTACTCCTGGACTCAGCAGGACTCGGGAACTGTGTCCTTAATGAGCATCTTTCATTCCCTTTGCAGGCCTGGTGGGTAGGAGAAACCTTCTCGGCAGACATTTGGAGAGTGTGCTCAAACAGCACCAACTGCACAGAAATCAACGACCTGAGCAGTAGTGACATGTTTACAGGTGAGTGTGTGTGAGCTGAGCTTTGGTGCCCCCATCTCCCCTGAGAACAGGCCCAAGCAGGGCCACCTCAGCATGCCCAGGTCACTCCACTTGCTCTCTGTCCCTGTATGTCAGGGCATGAGCCCTGGGAACAGTCAGCTGTGCTGGGAAGCAGGGTCAACCAGGACAGCTCATTGTGCCCAGAGGCGGTGGTTTGGGGCCTCTGCTGTTTGTGTTCCGTGTTCTCTGTGTGGGATTATTTCCATGTTATTGCTCTAAAATCAGGGATCTATTTCCTACCAGCTAAACTCAGCCTGTTTGGTATGACCCATGAGCTAAGAATGGTTTTGACATTTTAAAAGTTGTAAAACAAACAAAATCCCCAAAACAAAGAAAAAAAGAAGCTTTGAGAATTGAACATACTCCTAGCAAACCACATTGAAAACAAAGCAGAGCACATTCTTAACACCCTACAAGGTCCTTTGGCCCATTCCCCCCAATCCCTACCCAGAGAGCCCTGCCTGCCTGTGGGATGATTTCTCACTTCTCCCTGGTGGCTTCAGAGAAGTGGAGTCAGGCAGTGTGTTTGTGTTGGAGAACATATTTGTTCACCATAAAGAATAAGGAAGCAGGGCCAGGTGTTCTCTATGGGCCACAGCTGTGCAGCTGGGATCCTTGCTGTAAATTTCTCATTGGCCTTAACAAGCTGTGCTCCCTGCAGCCAGTTTCAGGCAAACTATGACGCTGCAGGTTGAGCTCCAAGTACACTTTTAAGTCCTCACGCCTGAGCCAAACAGATCTGAGCCATGACCCAGAGCAGGAAGAAGTCAGAGTAATGGGTTCTGGCTCCATCTTCTGGCCACAGCGGTGTTTTGGGCAAGTGCCTGGCTGGACACTAGAGGGAGGTGGGCTGGAAGATTCCATAGCAGCACTCACTAGTGTTCAGCTGGATGGGTGTATCTAGTCTGTGGCCTGTGGCCCACCACAACTAGTGTTCAGAGGGCCCAACCAAGGCTGCAAATCTGCTTCAGACAAGAGCTTTCCCTTGACTGTACAGGTCTCAGCGTGACGTCTGTACATGACAATGTTATGTTTCCATGTCCAAAGGTTAGACCGACATGCTTGACTGTAGGCAGTATCATGACCCATCTGTAATGCCTCGGTCCTCAGACATGACTTCGCCTTCTACCCACAGATTACTCCATCATGCAGGCCGTGCAGGCCACCATGATCCTCTCTACCATCCTCTGCTGCCTCTCCTTCCTCGTCTTTCTGCTTCAGCTCTTCCGCCTCAAGCAGGGAGAGAGGTTCACCCTGACCGCCATCATCCAGCTCATGTCATGTAAGTGAGACTGAAGCAGCCTCTACTGCCTGCCACGGAAACAAGAACGTCAAGAACTGAATCTTTAAATTGTGCGTTGTTCAGAAAGCTGGCAGTCTCAGGGGCCAGAGCAAAGCCTGCCTTCCGATCCTTTTCCTGGGCTCCTCCTTATGCAGAGCCAGAGCAAATGAAAAATCGATTCCAGGTTCAGGGTCGCTGGTTTCTGAGATTCCCCTTTCCCTCATCCTCATCTCTCTTGCAGACACCAAGGCCACAAAGTCTTGCATTCCTTCTCAGTCACCAATTTGGATGACATCTAGATTTAAGGTTAACTTGGAACAAACAGACCATTAGCAGCATGTACACACAGATTCCTTCATACAGAAAGGTGCTCAATCACGCTCTTCTTATGGAGGCGGGAAGTCGGGAGCACCCAGAAAGTTTTAGTTGTGGGAGAAGGGAAGGTGTTCCCAAAGCATGAAGCCCAAGCTTGGGTTTTATGAGAATAACAGTTGCAGTCCACAGTGGATTGGCTGGGTACACAGTGGACAGAACAGTGTGCCAGGATGAAGAGCCCAGAGCTGTGATAGCTGGAATGTGGAGGGGCCAGAACAAATGGGCTCTCATAAGCTGTGGGAGGGACTGGAGGTCCGTGTCCTAAGCTGGTAGGACTCTATTAGCAAATGTTAGGCTAGTACCAGGTTACACCATGGTCTGCAATATATCTGACCCCTGGCTTGATTCCTGACAGGTCTGTGTGTCATGATCGGGGCTTCCATTTATACGGACCGGCGCCAAGACCTTCACCAGCAGAACTACAAAATCTATTACCTGATGCAAGAAGGCAGCTATGGCCACTCTTTCATCCTAGCCTGGGTGTCCTTCTCCTTCACATTCATCAGTGGCCTCATGTACATGATCCTGAGGAAGCGCAAATAGGTTTCAGGAGCCCAGCCACTCCCCCACAGTATGGCATCCACATTCACGTAACCATTTGTATATAATCAGTTTTTGTGGTTTTTTTCTAGCAAACCTATTGTTTCCTTTAAAAAGCTTTTATAAAAAAAAAAAAAAGAAGAAGAAGAAGAAGAAAAGAGAGAGAAGAGTGCATTCTTGGGATCACAGCCCAGACCACAAAGGCTGGCATTCAGAATGCAAGCCCACCAAAAGTCTCCAAGAGGCCCAGCAAAATCTAGCAATGTGGACATCTGCAGAATGCCTTTCACCCCAGGAGCTGGGGTGGGTGTGGCCAAAGTGGGAAAAGCCTATCTTCAGGGACAGGCTCCCTGTAGGTTTCTGCCCTGCCCTTCTCCCCCTGCCTGCTCTACTCTGACAGCCACACTGACCCTGGTTTCGGTCTGTAGGGGACCCAGAGCCCCAGTCCCCCCTCAGTAAGTTAGGCCATCATGCAAACTCTCTGACAGGCTCCTGTTTGCCGTAAGCTTAGTGTCCCTTAACTGAGCTGAGTCTCTATAGGTAATTCCTTAGGTCATCTGTTACACTTCAAAGACCCTCATGATCCTTCATCAAAGGGGTGGGCCTGCAGTATGCTTAGTTGCACAACAATTGGGGGTCAGAGTGCTAGAGCCAGGGAGCAGAGGCACCTGTGAATGTCAGCAGTCTCACCACACTGAAATGGCCCCACTCCCACTCCCAGCACATCTTCGCCTGCACCAGTGCTTGCTGCTTCTCCCACAGCTGCTTCTATCTGGGCCACTCGTGCCTCCACCTGGCAGGTGGGATGGGCAGCTTCTTCCCTGCCCTGTCCTAGAAAGGCTCTCTTTTTCTCCTTGCCCCTCCATCTAAGGTGGGTGCTTCCTCTAGACCCCTATTTCTGGAGCCTCAGAAGAGCCAGCTTCCATTCATTCATCTACCCATCATTCAACATGAATGCACTTTGCCACGTGTCAGGTCAAGGGATACCTTTCAAAACAATTCCTCATGAGACTCAGTCTGGTGAAGATCACACACCAGAAACCAATTAGAAAAACTAGCAACTGTGATGGAGCAGCAGGGACCCCACCAGAGTCAAAACCTCCCAAGATGATAGGAAGCCCACTTTCTGCATACTTGACTCTAAGTGCCTTGGGGTATCTGTACTTCTGTAGAGGATCCCACATTTCCCACAGCAGGAAAGGATTCCCAGAACATGGCTCTCAAGATGAGCATCACATCGAAGGAGAATCCAGCTTCACTCCAGTGAATTCCAAGGATACCCTGATAAATGTGGCCATGGGAAGGTTGTTCATAGCACTGGAAGAGTGATGTGCCATACCCAAGGCCCAAGAACTCTAGGATGTCCACCTTCTCCCTTTGGTACCCTTTCCCATCCATTGAGCATCAAGTTGGAGAGATGATTCTGGGACAGGGTGTGTAGATTTGTGTTGTTTAAACATCTCCACATGTGAGCTTCTGTGAAGGGTTGTTTACCACTAGCTCAGTCCCAGTGAGGCTGGGGGGATTGGGTCTCTGTGGCTTTAGGGCCACCGTGGACACCTCATGCCTTGACGAACTTCCAAGGAGAACTTCCCACCGCTCACTGTTAGCTAGATTGTAGGGTTGGCACAATGTCTTGTGAGACTCAAGGAGGGAGGGGTGTCTAAAGTGTCCTCTACACCTTCCCTGCAGGGACTTTTCTATCATAACATCCTGTAGTCATGATGGAAACAGACAAACGAAAGTTTAGCCTGAGCCAGCATCAGTTTCCACCTCAGATACCCAGAGCTGCAGAAGGAATCATCCAATGTGATGGGGATGGTCCTGTGGGTTGTCTTGGCTGATTGCCACTGTGGCCAACATCCAGTGCCCACATTTAGCTGTGACATGAGAGGTGCCTCTCCTCTGCTCTGTGCCCTGTATTTGGGATGCTAGAAAGAGATGAGGGTGTGAGGGAGAACAGATCCACCCTTCTATGTAGGATCAGCTCTCAGTTGGTGCTTATCACTAGTTAACCAAAGATCAATGACAGTCAGCTGGGATATCCAAGAAGCATGTATTAGGACCAAACCCATCACTGTACTTAAAGGAACTTAGTTTGCGCATCTTACAACATTTTTATAAAGTACTGTAATTCATGGGGTGGGGCATGTGACAGAGACAGACTAACCCATGTTTGTCATTTGCATTAAAATTATTTTGGGTCTGTTTAAAGAATTCAGATAATGTTTGTGTGCTGTGTGTTCATGGCCCTGGATGCAGAAGAAACAGGATGCCTGCCACTCCCTTCTGCCGTCTGCCAAGGGCTGTGGGCCCATGTATACCCAAGCAAACAGGCTGATATTCTAGAGTGTTCCCTGTGAACCGAAGCTAGATGTAGACTGCCTGAGTGTACCCACTATGCCCAAATGTAGGCCCACTACATACAGCAACCCTCACTCCCCCAGGATCTCTATCAGATAAACCACCCAAGTGGGGGTTGTCACCACAGAGCAAAGCAGAGGTGACAGGGAAGTTCTGTGGAAGCTGAGGGCTTAGTGTTGACTCTTGTTTGGGGACAGGTATGATTTCAGGCAGTAAGATGCTATCTAATATTCCTTCAGGACACTCTCGCTTCTGTTCTCTATAACCCAGAACTGTACAACCAAATTCCCCAAAGCCACCTTCACCATGAAGGCAGCACCTCGAGTCAGATTCTGGAGTGGGGGAGAGCCATGGGAGATCCCATCAACAAGGTGACATGAGCACTACCTAGCTGTACAGGCCTACTATCCCAGATATGTCAAGTTCAAGGTCCCCCTGGTAAAGATAAAAAGTCAGAAGAGGGCTGGAGATGTAGCTCAGAAACAAGGACTCACCTAGCATACAGGGTGCTGGTTCAGGCCTCAGTACTGGGAGTCTGTGTGTAGATTTTATGGCAAGCAACCGTGGCTGGCTGACAGTTCATTGCCCCGCCTGCACAGCCTGGAACTGAGAATCTTTGGAGGGTGTCGGGATTAACAACACAGGACTCTTGCTTGACGAGGGCTGGCTTTTATACCCTGGCACCAGATGGAAGAGGAGGAAACGGAGGAGGGCAGTTAGTCATCTCAGGTTTTAAGGAACGGTTTGGGTATTCTCAGGGGCCCATCCCAGGGTTCTGGAAACCAAAGGAACATTTTGCCTTAGTAAATATGTTTTTCTCTGCGGTTACAGCTGCCTGCCCTGGGGGCAGCAGGGGGAAGTGAATTCTTAGCCAAGGTCTTAATTCCCACAATTCCCCCTTTTTTTATTTTCCATGAGGGACCCTTGTCTTAGGTTGTGTAGAGTGTGCCATCCCTTACCCGTCCTCAGGGGACCTGGCAACCCCTATCTTAGGCAGGAGGTTTCCCTACAAGTTGCCCATCATAGGTTATCCTCATTTCTGCAGCAACTGTAACCAGACCTCATGACTGCTGGGAGGGAGCGCCATGGGCCAGGCTGAGCAACACTTGTCTATGTAACTGTTCCTTTTGTGAAAAGGTCTGTCAGATCTTGCATAGCACAAGAATCCCTGCCCCAGCCGTTACCAGACTCAAGACCCTTAGAGACAATGCACCACCCCAGCACTGTATCGAACCTCCAATCTGGGCCATGGCATTCCACCCGCCCTCCGCTGAAATAGGAGCAACTGGAGTCTTATTGACCTCTACTATCTGGTGAGCCAAAAACATTGGTAAAGTTTACAAAAGAATTCCAATGCCCCGCCAAGTATGCATTGAGGCGGTTGACCTCTACAGAGACATTAGCATTTCAAACAAGGAGACACAAGAGGAATGACAAAGTGTGAGCAGGAGGCCTGCTGCACCAACCACAATACACCAACTTGTTCCTGAAGTAAGGCAGTTTGCTGATTTAGATTAAGGAGTCCGAACTGAATATGAGCATTCAGGGCAGTCGGCATAGCCAGAGCTTCGCTGACTCTGCCTGCCAGCTGATTAACAGTCTCTGCATTGACGGCAGACTAAGCGATAGCAATCCCTGCAATGGCAACAGCAGTCGCCGACATGGCAATAGCAGTATGATGGCAGCAGTAATACCAAAGTCCCTTCTTGGGTGGTAGAGGATAATCTCTTCTCCCCCATGTCGGTCTTCCACCACCATGGGGGCAAGGACGGGAACTCGGACTAACAGGGCACCAGAGTCCATTGGGGACCAGCAGTTGCTCAGGGAGCAGGTTCTGGAAGAACAATTGAGAGATTCTCCCTCCCCCAAGGACCCATTAAAGGTCACCCACATAAAGGGTGGCAAGACACAAACCAGGCTGACCACCGAGAAATTTCTCCCCAATGGATGTGTGAACCCTCAAGGAGTCCTCAAAAGCCTGTGACTGGTTCCAAACTGCCGTGGTGTTAAACGAGGTTCCTTGTTGTAGAACAAGGGGCTGGGCATCCGTACAGGCCTGCGGCCCACAAAGAAACATCCCTGAGAATGTTGGGGTCACTCCTGCTTGGTTCAGGTTTCTAAAATGGAACTCGAACCCGTTGTCTGTGGAATTCTTATGGGGAGGGCGATGTCCAGACTACCACAAAGACCCTTTTCCCTTCAATCGCCATGGCTCTTGTGGTGCACAGTGTCCCCAAGGCAAGGGCCTATGCAAGTCATAGTTTCTGGGGAGCTTCCAGCAGAGGGGCCCGGGTCTAGGGGGCCATGTAATAGCATTTTCCTATTCCTGCTGGAAGTTTATAGAGTATAGGACATCTCTAAGACCCAAGCAATTGCTCATACTGACATTGGGGTGAAAATCAGCAATGGAAGCATTACCCAAAGCTATGCATGGCTCTGAGAATGACCCATTGGGCAATTGGGAAACATTAAGCACCCTTTGGAAGCAAAGGATCCCCTATGTCAGGAAGGTCAAATTACTAAGTAATGAAGTCTCCAGCGGTACATCAGCAGCCGGTAGTCCCAGGGAATGATTGGTGGAAAAGAAAGTGGGAAACAGGGAGCTCTCCTGACTAACTGGCATCAGGATGGGGGGGAGGGGAGTTCTCACCAAGGCCCAAACCGTCCATTCCTCCGTGGGCCAGGGATTCCAGTAAAGCAGGACTAGATTCCCAATCAGGAACCACAGGGTGAACATGTTGTTCTGGTATCCAAATAGGTTTCTCTGTTCCTGGGGGAAAAACACAAACAGCCCTTCGGACCCTAGCTAATAGGGGGGTGGATGGTTGCCATTGTCCTGTAATTATGTTCTTCCATCTGACCCATCCCAATGTTTGAGAGGGTTTGTTCCAATGTCTCTCCATGGCAGACAAGTTATTTTTATCTATAGTAAAAAAAAAATTAAAATATGAAGTATAGTGGATAATTGAGAATTGGGGGAGGTCCTATATTCCCCCTTTTTTATTTTATTAAAATATTGTTTAAGGGTGGCATGAGTGCATTTAACTATGGCTTTCCCATAGGGTTGTGTGGGATGCCAAAGGAGTGATTAATATGATGCAGAAGGCTTCAAAGTGTTGATTAGCATATGCAGGGCCATTATCTGTTTTTAAGATATCAGGAACACCCATATAGGCAAAGGCCTGTAAACAATGAGAGATGACATCTTTAATCTTTTCTCCAGAGTGTAGGGATGCAAAAACCACCTTAGAATATGTATCTACAGAAACATGCATATATTTTAAATTTACTGCTTGAGGCAGGTGGGTGACATCCATTTGCCAAAGATTGTTAGCCCTTAGACCCTGGGGATTCACCCCCTAATTGGGGGAATTATGATAAGGGGCGCAATCAGGGCATTGAGAAGTAATTGAGTGGCAACAGGTAAGGAGTAGTTTGTATGAAACTTAAGTGAGTGTGCATTTAGGTGATACCGCTCATGAAGCTTGGTGAGCATGTTGTTCCTCTGTGAACATGACTATTGGGGGTCGAGTTAAGGAATCAGAAAGTTGCTCTGGGCAAGGGGTCCTGGGAGGCCTGTATGGGCACGTATATATCCCACAAATGCAGGGTGTATCCACTGCCAGATAAGATGTTGAAGCTTAACTAGAAGAGAATGAACTTGACAGGTAGGAAGAACATATGGAAAAGCCTCTAATGACTTTATAATATTAGCAACATAAATGCTATCAGTATATAGATTAAAAGATTCTTTATCAAACAACTGAAAAGCCATTATGCAAGCAACCAATTCAGCAAAACCTTTAGAGGACCCATCTGTAAACACTGAGTGAACCCTTTGAAGGGAAGCCTCCTTTATAATCTTGGGGAAAATTGCAGGGTGCTACCTAAAAAGGACAGCAAGGGACTATTTGGGTAGTGGTTATCAAATCTGGCTCCCGTAGATGTGATAAAGAACATCCATCCATCATGAGAGGCTTGTAAATGCTCAACCTCTTCCTTATCATAGAGGAGAATGATATTATCAGGGGGCTTTCCAAAGGTTTGGGTGCTAACTTTATGTGCTTTCCATAACAATTGTAATATCAAATCATAATAGGGGAACACAACTTTCTTAGGGGAGGCTGACAAATGAATCCAATATATAGGGCCTTGTTGCCAAAAACAGCAGTGGGTGAAAAACTGGTTGTCCATAATCTAGACGCTGAAGATGGGCTTTTTCAATGCTCCTCAACAACAATTGGATGGCCTCCCTGGCCTCCGGGTAGTCTGTCTGGGAAAGGTTGGAGCTGGATCCCCTGGAAGAATATCTTAAGGGGGTCTAAGCTATCCTGTTTTAATGGAAAGTGAGGGGCGGATCCATTGAACATCTAAAAACTTTTGCCAGTCATGAAGAGGTTTAAATGTGAACAATCAGTTTGGAGCCTTTGAGGCTGGAGGCCTTTCTGTTGGATCTGGTGGCCTAGATAGGTGTAAGGAGGTTTTTTTTTTTTAACCTTCTCTGGAGCCAAAATAAATCCACGGGCCTCCAGAAGCTCCTGCAATTTAGTAAACACCTTAAGACATCTCTCCTCAGTGAGTGCTGCCAGCAGAATATCGTCTATATAATGGATAATGTAGAGATCAGAAAATTTGCACCTGATAGGATCCAGGCAGGCAGCCACATAAGCTTGGCATATTGTCAGACTATCCTCCATTCCTTGGGGGAGCACCACTCATTGATAGCGAAGGGCAGGTTCTGGAAAATTAATCGAAGGAAGGCTAAATGCAAACCTGGGGCTATCTCAGGAATGCAGCGGAATGCAGAAGAAGCAATCAATAACAATTAAATGCCAGTCTTTAGGGATAGCCACAGGTGAGGG